GTTCCTCTCCACTGTGGTGGGCGAGCAGCGCCAAACAAACTGCATATTTTAACACATAATCGATTTCAGGCCCCCGTCTTCTTCCAGTCTCCTGGCCAGGAATATTCATTGTTTACATCTCTAAAATTTCTCCTATACATCCTGCCTGCAAGATTTTCTACTACACATTGGGGACTTCTAAAGGTACTTTTGAGTTTTGGCCGTGTGCTCGCATTATCCTCCATTACTCGCTCAGCACGGCTTTTTCAGTGGGTCACCCTGGCAGTTGCGTGCCGTTGCAAAGATTATTATCGGCTGAGCCTTGACCTCAGTACACACGACACACGTGTTGCAGACTTGGAGCGCCAGCTGAACAAAGCTTCGCGACGGAACGACGAGCGCTTGGTATGCGATCTGTACGTGGAGATTGGCGACGAGAGGAGGCGTGTGGGCGATCTGCCAGCGGCACTGAGTTATTACAGAAGAGGCGCCGAATTGGCCGAACGATTGCAGCTGCACGAGAATGCATCGTTTGCACATCGGGCAATCGCCGAGATTTTGGTCGAGCCAAGTTAGCTGCTTCGTTTTGCTACAAACCTAACTGAAATTGCTTTTCGAAAGATTCCACTCCAACAGTTAATCTGAGGCAGTTAGGAAAAGGACAGGGAAGTTCCAGTGCGCGATAGAGGAATGGAATATTTGTAGAAAAAATTTCAGGAAGACGGTTCGTGATTGTTTTCTGGTACTAAAGTGTAATGGAGCAACCTGACTTTCGTATGGTACTTTCTTTGTTGTACAATTGCTAGGACTAGCATAAGGGGGTAAGATTAATTTTTATACATTACATCTTCTCATACTTCCTTAATCCAGCTGATCACAATGTTTATACTTGACTTCTCTCCTCTCCTTATCCCCTCTTTTCATCTCTTTCACACTATTTAATATTACAATTTTTGGTTTTCCTTTTGCTTTCATTTCTTCCTTCTTTCTCCTTTTTAAGCACTGCGACCGTCATACTGACGAGGTCCGGTCGCAGTGTTGAGTTAAGACGTATATGACTTAATGTACCGAAACGCCTTATCTCACTTTTGCCTCCTCTCCTTTACTGTTTCTTTCCTCCTAAATTCCTTCGCACCTTCGCCATTTGCACTACCAGGGTCAACTTGGATGCTGCAATCTGCTTAGAAGTTCAGAGCACATTTGGTGGCTTTGCCATGTTAATAAACACTGTTCATTTTGCTGGTTTTTTTGCTAAACACGTGGGGAGTGTGTTCGACAGTGTGAAACTGCTTTTGTGAGTTGTTGAATTCTTCTGAGCTGGCAATGATGAGCAATCGCAACAATCAGAAAGGCATTTCATTTTGCCAGTGTTGACTTCATAGAACGGATATCTGAGCCAGCATATAGCAGCACAGACATTATAAAAATAGCTAAGTGAAATGTGACAATATATTTTTCTCTTGCTCGAAAGATTAAAATTAAGCTAAGTAACTGAGAAGAAATGTCCCTTCCCGTCCCTTATTACCCGCGAGACCCAAACTACCACCCCTGACCCGTCCTCTCTCCTTCCGCACCCGGCTGTGCCCCTACT